GCGACATGCAAGATGGCACAAAGGCCAAGAGAGCCCGCATGGGCCGCGGGATGTGGGGCCGCGTCTTCGGCGGCGCCGTGACTGTGCGGTAAACCTGCTGCGCAACACAATTTTCACCTTTGTCACAGCCTCCATTTTTACAACTTTTCTCACGTTTTGAGCCACCCCCCAAAAAAGCATGGTGTTGGATTGTGCTATAGAGTTATCCGGGGGAACAGACTTGATTTCACCATCTTTTTTTCCTTTTTCTTTTATCCGAAGGCGTTGGTAATGGACTGGTGGTACATGGACTACGAATCGAGGATAGAGCATCCTCGGGCATTTGCATATATGGAACGGTGTTGGGCGGACATTCATGAACATGATTTTTCTCTTCTTCTTTGGGTCATTTGACGTCCTCGCATGGTAGAGGGTCGTCGTGTGGGATTAGGATTGGGGAAACTGGCACGCCTCGGCTTAGACAGTCTGGCACATACTTTAGCCTAGCAGCAGTACGCGGGTCCATCATCGAAGTCGCAACTGCGAAACTTGATACCCCTACAAATGAAAGCAACGGGCCTTGGCCCGCTTCCAAACAACTATCTCGAGTTCCCGACTCTTTGGTTATCGTGAACGGTGAAGTCGACTCCTGCTTGCAGCTCGGGCCAGACTTTGACAGAGTTCGGAATCATGGTCTACCTAGACCGGCTGGTTGGCGCTAATGAGAAAAATTTATTCTTGTATGGTACCGGTATGTCTTGATGTTCTCCCCTCGTGACGGGTGAATGCAGCCAGCCAGCCAGCCAAACCGGCGGTGTGGGGGTGGTGGTGGTGGTGAACCGTGAGCAGCCCAGAGGGGAGGAATTCGCATTCAGCGGACAATGCGAGACATTTGATCCCGTACAGACAATTGTGGGGGGGTAACCTAGAGGGCGATGCTACGCTGCCGGTCATTTCACCGTGGTCTCATGTCTGCCCGCGGCATACTCACGGGGTCGCATGCAGTTGGGATTGTTCCGATACTTTTTTTTTTTTACTTTCGTTTTCCCTTCCGTCGGTGATGTAGTCGATTTCTCCACGGTGATGCAGAGCATTTCTTGTTTTTTTTTTGTTACTCTTCACGATGACGGGTCAAATTCTGGAAGGGTAAAATTCTTGATTGTACTGATTTGCATGACGTGCCATGACTTGATGAAGAAGCTTATCTTTTTCACCCCATACTGGACTGTCAAAAGCTATAGGTTTGTTAGGTCGACGGGTTTTTACTCTAGTCATGAACATGCACCGAGCGACGTCAGTACGCAGGGCAGGCAGGGGCAAATCAGCGTGCGCGGTACGGGGGGCATGAATCGGACGAGAGAGAGAGAGAGAGAGAGAGAGTTTTTTCTATTGCTGCAACCTTTTGTCGGTGTGTTTCTGCGTTTGGTTCTTTCCCCCCTCCAAAGGATGCGGTCAGGACCTCGGAGAAGTAGAGAACGGAAGAAACCTTAAAGCCCCCAAGGATCCAAGATTGCAATCGTAACGGTCTTTTTTCGTCACACCCGATCGTTGGGTAGACGATTTCGGCATCTAGAGGTACCGAGTATCCGTATTTGGGATTGAAGGAACCGGGGGGGGGGGGAGGAATAAGTGAGACCTGTGGGATTTCCCGACGATGAATGCGGGTGTTGGGGAGACCGGGTACGGGGTTTTTCACGGGGGTGATGACTTTTTGGCTGAACGGACGGAGGCGGACTGGAGGGCGTGGACGTTTACGTGCGGTAGTGGCTTCGGAAGGGGATGTGTACCGCGAGCCCGCAAGCCTCTGGGTCTTGTTCTTCACCGATTCAAGGAAGGGAAAAAGGAGATGGATGGATGGATGGGAAAAAGGAGGATGAAGGACAGATTTGGAAGTGTGTTTGGATCGGGTTTGGATACGGGCCTGTTGGCTTGGTTCACTCCCCTTTCCCCTTCCCCTTTCCTAATCCCAACCTTCCGTAGGTACCTTATCGGAGAATAGCGGTCGATGATGCCGGTGCTGGCGGTGGGATCGGAGGAGGAGGAGGAGGAGGGGTCCAGGCCTTGGATATCGCGGGGTATGGTCGATTAGGCAGCCTTGAAATCCGCTTGACAATAGCGTGCCGTATTTGACGTGAACACTGACAGCCCAGGCTCATGACAGATTTCCAAAAAAAATCCAACAAGCTCACAACCTAGATCTAGGCTTTTCCTCTTCCTTCCTTCCCCCTCCCCCATCTCTCCGCCCTCCGCCCCCCTTTAGATCTGACGCTACCGCTACGTTGTGCTACGGTACTACGGTGCTACCGCGAAAACAAGCGTCGGGCATCGTTCCGGGTCTTTGGGTCACTTGCGAGAGAGGGTAGGTAGGTAGGTAGGTATTCCGGAACCCCTTCACGGAGGATCCCGAAAAAAGGTATCTGGGGTCGGGACATCAGAGTGGTGAAAGTGTGTCCGCTCTATTCCGGTTCCAGTGAAAGGAAGTTCAGAATCCGAAAAGGACGAGGGCGAGGGCGAGGGGGGTGAGTGAGGGTTGACGAATTCGATCGAAATGCGGCTCACTATACTTGAATAAAACTCCCCCGGTGAAAATGCCCAGCCCACAGGCTGTCGTCGTATTTTGGGCATCTTCCTTTTCGCATCCATCCTGCTTACGTTTATCTCCGAATCCGCCGTGTATCCAACGGTTTTGAGAATAGGTACCCTACATCGGCGTTTTTTTGGGGGGCGATGCACATAGAGGTGTCGTGACGCATAATGTGGTTACACGGGTACGGCACCTAGTGTGTCAATGACATGTGCGATAAATTCGGCGGAATGGGCCAAAGTGAGGCGGATAAGTATGTAGTATCTACCAGAAATTCGCCGACAAGGTTTTCTCGATTCTTAGGGGTCCAAGAACATAGTGACGTCTGTAAAAGGTGCCATCTTGGACATTTGGTTGGGCGACAGCGAAAAGAAGAGAGCTTCAAACACACTTCCAAGTTGGCTGTTGGTTTGCCTTGGGTTGGTTGGGTTGGCGTGGGATGGAGGGGTCTTGCTTGCTCAACCACCCCCATTTATTAGACACGTATGTTTGCCCTATCATGCAGTGAAATACACGTCTCTCGTCCCTCTAGGTACTCTTCGTCTGTGCCTCTAGGCATTGTTATCACAAGCTTGAGGAAAATATGAAAAGAGAAAGACAAGGTCCAGGTCATCGCAGAATGCGCATCCTGGTGGACGATGGGGGCATTCAGGCTGCAATCGCAGTCGGGGAAAAATGTCGGTCAATGATCGGAATCTGGGATTGGAAGAGGAGGGGGAGGGGTGTGCGCGACCGATGATCGTGCGCCGTTCAGATTTCCGCCGTGCTTTAGGATGTGCATGTGTGGCTGGGGGTGGGGTGAAAAGGCAACGAAGAATGCATGCCAGGAAGCAGGATTCTTAGGCTCCGACCCCGCGAAGATGTTTCCCCTCCTCATACAGAGTACTGTGCAGGTATCTATTCCTACTCCTTACTCGTATGAGTGGATGAGGTTTGTTTGCCAGAGGTCGTGATCGTGATCGTGAGAAAGGACCTAGGCGGCCCAGGCCTTCCTTGCCCCTGGCCTAGGCTACCTAGGCATGCCTGGTCAAGATACGGATACGTGGATGACAGTTGCAGGGTGTGCGCCGCTTCGTGTTCAGTGTTGGGCTCCAGTAAACTTGGGAAGACCGGAGCTTCAGCCCATGCCTGGCCGCTGGCCGGCGGTCGGGGTCGGCGTGGGTCTCTCAAGAGTCGAGGCCGGCTCGGAGGGGCTGGGGGAGTGTTCATCAATCGACACTAGATGAGTCACGAGGTCGGGGGGCGGCGGGCCAGGTTTTGCGGTCGGATGACTGGCAATATTGGCTCAGTCTAACGGGCTCAGTCGACGGTTCCCACTGCAGTGCCCTCTGCCCGCCCAATCGGCTGTATGTCAGCTGTCTCTTTGAGGTTTGAACAGTATTCACCAAAGAGCAAGTGTTCAGTGCGCCTGTCAGCTTTTGCCCAACGCCGGTGTGCGGCACGCCGCGGCGTGCGGCGGCGTGCCGTGAGCCTGTCGCACACTGCGTACGCCTGGCCTAGGTGCGCGAGAACCCGCCCCCGGATTCGTGGACACGGGCCGTGGCAAAGGGTCGCCTCACGCCAAGGTCAAATGACTTGCATCCCTGCCACCCTGCTCTCCCAAGGGCCATGGGCCATGCCCCGCGCGATTGTACCTACTGCAGAACCATGGCCGCGTCGCGAGACCGAGGGCTCCGGCTGGGCGAACCGCGAAGTTACGGGGAAGTAAGTCTGCCTCCCGTCATCGACTGTGCCTGCACCTATCCGAACGAGTATCCGTACGGATACCAAGGTTGATTCAATGTGGCTTGGGCCAACCGTTCGCTTTTCCCTCGTTTCCCACCTTGCTGGTAAATACTCCATAAAGCTGTGTAGGTTTGTTAGTGATTAGGTTTTTTTTTTTTTCTTTTTTTTTTCTTTTTTTTTTTTTGAGTTGGTCCACATTGTTGACTTTGAAGGTGTTGGCAAACCTAACGGCCGTTGATGAGTTGCTGCGCCGTGTCCTCAGCCCCAGGCTCTCACCCAGAAGCATGGGCTATTTGCCAAGATGCTCGCGAGCATTGTAGTTGCCGGTGGAGGTCTCGGCAAAAGGCAAATGGCAAAAAGAGGAAAAGCATACAAGTCCTATTGTCCCTTTGGATATGCCAGGCCTTGGCTGAGTAGCGTTTGAAGTATCTGTATCCGTAGTCTTTTGATGACGCTTATAGCGGAGCTCGCGGCTCACACGGCGATGCCAAGAAATGCCTTGAGCACTCAGTATCTGTATCGAGCCCAGCCCCACACGAATCGTGACTTTGAACTTCAATATTAGGTATGTCGATCGCCGCATTATTGCCAATGAGAGGGCCGTAATGCCAAGACGAGGAAGTTGGGCACTTGATCTTTGAGGTGGTCGTAGACTTTGCAGCGCTATGAGCCCGCACTGCCCCACTGTCGCAGAGATGCGCTGACATGGGATTCAGCTGAGTTGTGTGCGCTGGTGATCGACGCGATGACGCTCCAAGCCCCTCCATAAGCCGGCAGAGGATTTAGCTCTGATGAATATGGACATGCTTGAGATTGCTTCTCGCATAGTGCACGCCAAAGGGGGTAAATGCAGTGTTGTTCGGTGCTCTCGAACTGGAAGCCTCTGACACAGCCTAAGCGGTTGATCCGATGTCGACATAGCCTTCAGGCTCATCCCGCGTCTGTTCGCCGACCTCAAGAATGGATACGGCAGCATGCTATCCGAAGTTTCCCTGTCTCGAATTTTGCCGAATGATATTGCACGGCCGTAGAAATTGTTCCAGAATTCTTCGTTGGAGCATGTTAGAGACCAGTGCAGTCTGCTTTGACGGTTGGCGATGGCTGACTGGTCAGTTTTCGAAGGCGAAGCTTCGGCAGCATAGGGCGCAGTGGTCATGGTGATTGGAGCAAGCGAGAGGCCGGGTTTGTCGCGACCACTGGAATCCTTCTGCGGTATGATCAGCGAGCAAGAATAGAGGTACACATATTCCCCGACAGGTCTATATCGAACGAAGTCGAAGTATCGATTGGTGGAGGTTGCCCTTGTTTATGTCATGGAAATAACCTAGAGCAACAGTATTGTGACTCCATCAACGTGTCAGCCGCAAGCTGTGTTACCCAGGCATCGTTCTGTAAGAGGTTCATGGTGGCGCCCTCTGGATTGTTTGTTCCACCCAAGCACGCGAGTGAGCCAGCTCTCGCGGAGGTTACTGCAGTCTCTGGCAACGACTTGTCTTGGAGTGCAGCCTGACAGATCGACAGGAACAGACATGGGTAGCTGAGAGGCGATCCGCCCAGGTGTTATGTCGAGGATGAGTGAGCAATAGGCTAATAGCAAGTGCAGCTGCGCTTAGAAATCGGGGTCCACGTGGATCTTGCTGCGACTAGCGGCTAGCGCGATGCGGGGGGAGACGCCATAGACGCTGTCCGCTGAGGTTTGCCACTGGAAAAAGGAAGACGGAACATGGATAGATCTAGTAAAGATCGATTGACAGCGGGTGTGGTATAACGGTACGAGATGGAGATGGAATGTCGTAGATCAGAAGAAAAAGGTGTCACCCATAGTGAATATAACGAAAGGTTGAACAATGGTTTCTAATGGCTAAGTCTTTAACGGTTCCATTGCTCCTTGGTCTCTCCTATTGTAAAAAGGGCAGGCGAAGAACTGCAAGTTTCCTTCGTGCCTTCCATTGCTTTCTGAATGTTGAAATGGAAGGCTCCGGTATGTTCCAGTCTGTGTATTCGAATACTCAGTACCCAAACTGCAGGCACGCTCGGTTTGGCGTGTCAAAGTCGGGTGCCTGTGGTGCCTGCCCCTTGAGGCACTCAAATGAAACCTGGACGGACCCATTGTGAGCAAATTACGTCACGCGTGTGTCTTTGGTACCTGAACAGACAGTGCCAACACAGTGGCTGTTCACGGAAATACGACAGTGCGATCACCGTGTTCCTGCAGAAAAAGTGGTGAGTCGCTGACTCTGATACCTGAGAATTCTGCACCGCACAAAACGCGCATCCCCAAAGAGGCAAAGGGCCACTCTGTCCAGCATTTCAAAGCAGCACAATTGCCGCGCTGTAATTACAACAACGTAGAGTCAAACACCGAATGATCAAGAAACCTAGGGGCCAAGGTAAAACCATCGTAGCGTTCTCGTAAATATTTCATCTTTTCCTGGCAACTGCAGGCTTTTTTTCGGGAGTGCTGCATCAAAGGGACGTGGCATCAATCCCTCGCGTTGGCATTCATTTGGAGAAAAAAAATCTCGGACACCGAGCTTTGAAGCAAACTGAACATCGTCTGCCCAGGCTCATCTATCTGCTGTTCACTCGGCCTTTGATTCTACCAATTTTCCTTCCTTTTACGCTTGTTTTTTCTTCAGTCCTTCGTATCTATGCATCTCCCTCACGCATATCTCAAATAAGAGAAAAGACAAGGACGAGTATCTTACTAAAACCACCTGTAGCTTTCTCCGAAAGCTGGCCTGAGCTACCGCAAAACTCACACCTTGGTTTCAACTTTCGCGTCCAAGTCGCCCTCCCGTGAGCTCCCTCAACATTCCACTCAGGAGGCTGCCAACGCATCTACCATCCCTCCACACCGGCTCTATCATTCTAAATACAAAAAGGACGGCAACGACAACAACTAGCAGGAACACCGGCCACTGAGCCATCGGTCCGTGACGATGGACGACGGAAGGCATCCTCGCATCACCACCTCATTTCTGCTCGCCAACTTGCACTGCCCATCATGCGTCTCTTCCATCCAGCAGGCTCTCCGCGAGTCCTCCAGTCACGATGTCATCTGGGTCTCACCAAACATTGTCACCTCCGTCGTCACCATTGAACACAGACACACGCCAACCCCCGATATCACCATCCGGTGCATGGCCAAGTCACTTCAAGATGCCGGCTTCGAGATTTGCGGTGTCACGACCACGGCTGCCACCGAATTCGACATGGACACCATCACCTTCACCCAGCCTGATTCTGGTGTCATGGACATCAACGCTGGCGCTCACAGCGGCGGCGCCCTCGATGGCCTGCTCTCCTTCGCTCCGAAGTGGTCTTCTGATTCACCCGAGGCCCAGCGGGAAGCCCACCTGCTCAACTGCAAGCAATGCCGTGATTCAGAGGATAGCGGTGCTTCAACCGCAGACCTATTAAACTCACACGTCAACAGTGTGCGCAGCTCGCTTTACAATGGTCTCGACAGTGTCACAGCAATGGCCTCAGGAGGCTCAAAATGGAGAGTCACACTCTCTGTCGGTGGTATGACCTGCGCATCCTGTGTCAATACTATCAGCGAGGAACTCAACAAGCAGGAATGGATCGACAATGCCACTGTCAACTTGGTCACCAACAGTGCCACGGTTGATATCAGAGACAAGTCCAACGCGTCAAAGGTTGCGGAGGCCATTGAAGACATGGGCTATGATGCCAGTCTTGACAGCGTTACGGAATATGCAGAGCCTGGCGATGACTTCAGCGGAGACGAAAGCGACGAAAAGAAATGGCGAGCAACTGTGGCGATTGGCGGCATGACCTGCGCTTCCTGCGCCAACACCATCACGGAACAGCTGAATAAGAAGGACTACATCTCCAATGTTGCAGTCAACTTGGTGGCTAACAACGCCACCATTGACTTTATCGTTGAAGGCAAGCAAGACGACATTGTTCAGTCCATTGAAGATATGGGCTATGATGCAACACTAGACAGCGTATCAAAGGTCAAGACTGAGAATAAGGGCGCGCAAGAGAGGACGGTCCAGATCTCAATCAAGGGCCTCTACTGTCAACATTGCCCCAGCCGAGTTACGCATTCTCTCACATCCTTCACACACCGGCTAAAGGTTGTTTCCAAACCCACTCACGAGAAGCCACTCGTTACCGTCAAGTACACGCCCAGCGCGCCTTCGTTCACCATTCGGCAAATCCTATCCGCCATCGATGCCGCCGATCCCGCCTTCAAGGCATCGATCTACCACCCGCCCAGTCTCGAGGAGCGCTCAAAACTCATTACACAAAAGCACCAGCAGCAGCTCCTTAGACGAGTCTACTTGACGTTGGTCATCGCCATCCCGACTTTCATCATTGGTATTGTCTACATGAGTCTTGTCTCCGACACGGACAAGGGCAAGCACTACCTCATGAAGCCATGGGCTCTGGGCATCAACCGAGCCCAGATTGCACTGTTCGTCCTCGCGACGCCGGTTTACTTCTTTGGGGCCGACGTCTTCCACAGCAGAGCTATCAAGGAGATTAGGAACTTGTGGCGCAAGGGCAGCAAGACACCCATCCTTCGTCGATTCTACAAGTTTGGAAGCATGAATATGCTCATGTCGCTCGGGACAACCATTGCCTACCTTTCTTCTATTGGCCAGATGATTGCTGCCGCCATCAACAGACCTGCAAAGGTGGACGACACGCAGTTTTACTTTGACTCCGTCGTCTTCCTGACCCTTTTCCTGCTCCTGGGCCGTCTGATCGAATCGTACAGCAAGTCGAAAACTGGCGACGCGGTCGAGATGCTGGGCAAGCTGCGACCCACCACGGCTATCCTCGTCACCAAGGACTCCATTGGTAAGACCACCGACACCACTGTTGGCGTGGACATGCTCGAGTATGGAGACGTTGTGCGCGTGCCTCACGGTGCGTCGCCCGCCGCAGATGGGATCGTGGTGCAGGGCGAAGGCAGCTTCGACGAGTCCAGCTTGACAGGCGAGTCTCGCCTCATCAAAAAGGTACCTGGCGACGAGGTCCACGCAGGTACGGTCAACAAGGATTCCGCTATCCAGGTACGCATCACAGGTGCAGCGGGCGCCTCCATGCTGGACCGGATCGTCTCCATCGTTCGAGAGGGTCAGACAAAGAGGGCGCCGATGGAGCGCGTCGCCGACGTGCTGACGGCCTTCTTTGTCCCCATCATCACCCTGATTGCCGTAATCACATTCTTCACGTGGTTGATTCTCGGCTACGCTGGTGTCCTTCCTCGAGACTACCTCGACTCAGAGGGCGGATGGGCTGGCTTTGCGCTTCAGTTTGCCATTGCCGTCTTCGTCGTCGCCTGTCCCTGCGGTCTCGCTCTCGCAGCCCCCACAGCCATCTTTGTCGGCGGTGGTCTCGCGGCCAAGCATGGAATTCTCGCCAAGGGAGGAGGCGAGGCGTTTGAAAAGGCCAGCAACGTGGACGTAGTTGTCTTTGACAAGACGGGCACGCTCACCGTCGGCGGTGAGCCAAAGGTCACGGACGCCGGACTCTACCTCGAGGGGAGCAGCCTCGAGCGTGGCATGGTTTTGGCCACTTTGCGAGCGGTTGAGGAGAACAGTAGCCACCCTGTGGCAAAAGCCATCGTCTCCTACTGCACCTCGCAGACGGACGCCTGGGTCGACGTCGACAGCATCCAGGAACTGCCAGGCAAGGGCATGAAGGCCACGAACCGCGGAGCGAAGCCTGCCGAGGCATTTGACATGATTGTCGGCAACGAGTCGCTGATGCGCGATCACGTTGTCCACTTTGACGAAGGCGTGACGTCTCAACTGCAGAAGTGGAAGAGCGAGGCTAAATCGGTCGCCTTGGTCGCTACTAGACCTACTGCTACTCCTTCTACCAGAACGTCAGATGACCACCCCTGGACTCTCGTCGCGGCGCTTTCTATCGCCGACCCTATCCGGCCTGAGGCAATCCGTATCATCAAGGCCCTCCACGAGCAAGGCACCCGCGTCTGGATGCTCTCGGGCGACAACGTCGTGACCGCAAAGGCCGTCGCGGACCTGGTGGGCATCGACCCGGACAACGTGCTCGCCGAGGTGCTTCCCTGGGAAAAGGCGGACAAGATCACCTACCTGCAATCGGTCCTGAAGGCGCGGGCAGGAACCGGGGGCGGGGGCGACGAGCACA